GAGGGCTAAAGCACCCAACATCGAGAGGCTGGAGCTTATGTGATGAGTGAGCAGGCATACAGAGCGTTACAATGTTCTGTTCCTTGCAGTAGAGCTCGAAATCGACGGAATGGTGGCTCTCGTGGCCGTCGAGGATAAGGAGGCGGTGGGTACCCTTCGTACGACTCTTCGTATGGAAATCGAAGTGTTTTACCCATTCTAGATCTCTCTTGTTCGTCGTCCAGCCATTATCTGAAAGCGCGATTACCCAGTCGGCCGGTAGAGGGCTATTCGCGGTCCAGGAGTCGAGGTGGACCTTCCCCGCGAAGATAATATATGGTGGGATCGAATAGCCGTACGACGCGATACCCTGGATTACTGTAACCCATTCCTGATTACCTTGTTGTACGGCTCTTGGCCTCCCGCGTCGATCGGAGGTTGTAACAACAGTTTCGGCGGAGATCTTGCCCATCGCGAAGCCCGTTTCGTCGAAGTTGTAGATATCGTCATTGTGGATCCCGTATTTCGCGATTATGTTTCGTACGAGCTCAAACCACGCGCGATACGCGTCCGGATCCTCGTAGAGGACCCTCTGGTAGTCGATTCTTCGATTTAAACGCGTACGGAGCTCAGGTCGTCGTCGTACGAAGTTTGAGGCCCAGTTCGTTCCGACGCGTGGCGCGTCGCGTACGCGGAGGAGTCGATCCGCCATTTCTCGAACACCACTTATCCGCGGCGGAAACGATCGCGAATCTAGGTCGAGTATGTATTGTACGATACTGTCCTCTTCGTACGAGGTCAATTTCTAGCAGGGTGGTCGGGTTTCTCGTTTACGCTGCGCGCCTCTTCGTCGGTCTTGGAGTGTCGTACGAGGTACATTATAGATCTGTGCAGCCTTTCGTACACTTAATTTTGGGTCTGACTGGAGCGCCTGAAGCGCTAGAATAAGGTCGCATTCAATTGATTGTCGTTCCATAATTACTGGTGGAGAAAAAGGGGAAATAAGGTTGCCCATACGGAAATGACGGAAAGTGGCCGGGTCACTTGTGGATTACGTTATCCCCAAGGTCATTACCGATACCATACGGGCAAGATGTTATGCTTCTTAATCTGAAACCCCTTCGATTCCGTAGAGTACATGTTTCTAAAGCTTATCTTATCGGAATAGCGTAATCGCATTCCACTCTACGGTCTCTACATTTGAGTGAGACTATTATCCTCGGGGGTCAGTGGAGCTCGTGCCTGGCTGTCATCGAAAGCTCGACTGACATTTCAGTCCATATGGGAGACGTAGAACCAGCCTGATCACGTAGTGGGAGGAACAAGAGAGAGAGATCATGCTTTGGAGTTTTCTTTTCTGGCCTTTTATGGTGCAAAAGAGTCATGTGAAATGGCTCTTCCTTGATCCAGACCCAACTTACCAACCCTCTCCATGATGTAAGTCTAGACCCCCCATTGCGACCAGTGCGCATGGCGACCACCCCCCAACCTGCGCATGAGGGCATCTCCGACCACATGGTCACTCTGCAATAACTGAACAAGCATTCGTTAAAAAGGCTTCAAATCAATTGATCCGCACCTCAATGCAGCTCTCCTCGTCAATGTCGTCTTCAATGATCTCTACCTCGTCGTCGCTGCTGTCGGTGTCGTCATCCGTGCTGAAGTCCGCCCCCATCTCGAGCTGCAATTGCCTCTTTGCGCGCTCCACGTTTACGACCTGAACAAACTGTTTATTGGGATCCGGATCGACTCTGCGGCGTTTAGCAGGCTTTGAAGCATCTAATGCTGCTTGGAGACGGTCTTTTTGGTGTTCTGCGGTGGTGCGCGCGATGTTCGAAGTGTCGATTGCCTTCCCGACCTTGTTGAACAGCTTCCTGCAGGTCGCCGCCCCTAAAGGTACACCACACTTTACCAACTCCCTATGCATTTTATAGACATCGCGAGATGTTTTTGGTGTTTTGACGTCAATTGCACACAAGGGCGTCAAAAAATCTGGCTCTAAAACCGTCGTTTGGGCCCGATTTTGGGGATTCTGCTGGGCCTCCCGTACCTCCTCATAGTCCCGCATCACGAAGCGGGAACCCAGCGCCTTCAACCGATTGTGAGGCCACACCCCTGTGCCTTTGAAGCCTCCTAAGATGTTCTCCTTATTGAGCTTTCTTTTGCGCGCAATTTGGTATGCTTCAAGGAACTCCCGCTTGCCTGGGGACTCGTTCATAGTGTTATATGCAACCTCCGCGACCGCTTGACGATAGTGGTCCTTCACCGCCGAGAACACGCCCACATCGAGTGGCTGAAGAACATGTGAGGTATGAGCCGGGAGGTAAATCAGCCAGATTTTATTGATGAAGCACTCCGTCATAAATTCCTCTGTTGCGTGCGACTTGTGGCCGTCGAGAAGAAGGCATCGCCACTCTCTAGAATCCGTAGGCTTGGTGTTGGGAATAAATACCTCCTTGAGCCATTTCAGAGCAATATCATTGCTGGTCCACCCGTTTGGCGATGTGTCAAAACACCAATGCTTCCACCTGTCAAGTTCGACGTCGGGAAACCACTGCTGCTGCACGGATTGGCCCTTAAAAATAACAAGGGGAGGGATGAAGCCACCGCCAGCAGAAATGGCCTCAATTATCGTGATCCAGGTGCTCCTGGCGCCGTCCTTTTTCAAGGTAAAGTCGCGCAAGGCATCACTGACCACGAAGCCATTGTGACCTAGGCCCTCCGCGAAGCCACACTCGTCAACGTTCCATATGTTCTCGGGCCGTACTCGTTTGCCCTTCAATAACGTCAGGCGGTCGAAGAAGATGTCGATATTGGCCTTGGAGGCACCGTCGTATCGTTTGTATTCAATAAGTCGTGATCTCGAGGTCTTCAAGGTCGGGTTGCGGCGGATGAAGCGTCGGTACCAGTGCTTGCCGAGGTGTGCGGAGGGGTTGTCGAGAGCCAGCAGGCGCATCGCGAAGTGCTTGAATTGCTTCAATGGAGCTGCATAGCCCATTGCTGCTTGGTCGAGGGCCCAAGAGACCAGATAATCCTCCTGGGTCACGGAGAGGGTTTGTCGGACTTGGTACCTTTGCTTGAAGGTTGGGCACGCGTCAAGGCGACGACGTAGGTAGGATCTGTCGACATCGTGTCGTCTAGCAGCCGTCGCGACAGGTACGCCAGCCTCAACTTCATCCAGTGCGCGCAGGGCGCGCAATTGGTAGTCTTTTGCGACCATGACGATAGCTTCCTTTTTGACGGTCACAATGCAGGTGGTCGGGTCGCGGTGCGACGCGGTTGAGCAGGTTTATATGGGAAAATGTATGGTGGGGTGCTCAACCGCGTCGCGACGCGACCCCTGGGCGCGATGCGCACTGGTCGCAATGGGGGGTCTAGACTTAGAGGTATACGACCCTCTTTGAGCGCAACTTTGGCTGGCTGCTGGCCGTGTTCGTGTATATTACGGTAGTGCTCTCGGCGATGTAGGTCGCGCTGGCGACAGGACGTTTCGAGGACGATGCGCGGTTCTAGCAGTTTTCGTACGGTGTGGCAATCGCGGCTATCGCCATTGTTGTCGCCGCGACCGGCGTTGCGCTCTTGGTCTGGGCTGGGCTGTTCTTGTTCTACCTGATCTCGAGTATTTACTATAATAGGCGGATAGTATCGTGGGGGCAGCCGTAAGAAGCTTTGTATAAAGGGCTGTTTACGCGTCGGTTTCCTCGTGCATTGCAGAGTTGGCGAATGCCGGCGGGATACTTCGATAACTAGCCGCATGCATAATAAGAGATATATGCTTTGCTACCCAAGCATACTACAAAGAAACGCCGTCCCTACTGGACAAACCTGAAATCAAAGGAAGCAGACTTTCATAGTTTGTATCAGAACTTCATCTTGTCTCTGCCCGTTGAGTTGATGTAAAACTGGAGCTTGCTCGTTGTGATTTTACCCCGCGACTAGGGATCATGTCATACGCCTGTCCTGCTGCGAATCGCCAACCAGGCATTCTGTGACAAGGTGCAGTAAATGGACCATTTGGGGACACATTAATGTAACCAGTCCTGCAGTGTAGTGTTATCTGGAAGATAGTAAACGGGATCCAGGCACGTCGTCAAGCCGTGTCCGGCCGTCCGTTAAAAGTGGGCCCTTTAAAACGGAACGGTGTATAACCGTGGTCTAGCTGGTGTATAGGAGGCTGGATTTTACAAGTGTAGTGTCCAGCCGCGCGTGAACCAACGGCTGCCGCGGAACGCAGCCTCCCACGACCCAACCTCTGGCGGCTGACTGGAGCCAAACAATATATGAACCACCGTCCAGGCAGCGGGTACGGCCTGAATGGTTTGGCAAAGAACAACCAAGACAAACATACCTGGGAAGAGACACACCGTGTACGTGAGCATCAGATCCGCAATAGCGCATGGACCGCCTCCTACGAGTAGCGCCGGAAGTGGCCCGTAGCACGTGTAGAGCTCGAGCGACATGCGCCTGGTACCCCTTCTGAGATTTGATACTCATAATGGCCTGTCAAGGACCACTGAGTAGACGGCCTCGCAAATAGCAAACCTCCTTTCGACTAGTACGCGATATTCTTATAGCATTCGAGTCAAATACTGATTGCTAGGGGACATCTTTTAAGAAAACCCGACTCGATATCATGATCTTTGCCGGGAGATTCATACAGCAGCATAAGACTACGGAGTTACAGGAGCACAATAGCTAACCACGAACAGAAGAAAGACTTGATAGAAAGACCAAATTGACGATGTCATCAACTGTAATCGGAAGCCTCGGCGCTGTTTGGGGCTGAGCAACATTGCTCCATGGCTCGTTGTACTGGAATACTCAGCGCCACTTCTCAGGCGCACACGAGATACGTAGTGAGGTCAGTCACACACAAATGTATGACAGGGCGTGTTGAGCCAAATCCCCAGCTCAGACGACACAGCAAGTGCTTGAATGACCATTCAGCCACAAGCAGGAAGGCGGCCTTGTGTGCCAGCCCCACTCAGACGATGGGAGGGTTCGAGGTGTGTGCGGCCGCTTCAAAGACCGGAACCTTTCGTGGCGGCAGTTCTGTAATCCCAGCCAAGGCCAGACCTTTGCATAGATGTATCATTGGTGAATTGGGGACGGTCCTATTTCGCGCGTTAGTTTAAGATGGACATGCGCAGCTTCAGAGGAAAAGAAACTCACGGCATTTGTACTCGTTCTGCAACATATCGATTGAGGACAACGATGGCCGCAAAGATAGCAAGATATGCGTGCGGCCCAAAGCTGAACTGAGTCTCGTGTATCGACAGCATGGACGCTACAAAGTTGGACGCAGTGTAGACTGCAGAGTAGGATGGGAGAATTCTCATTCGGTTCAAGAGCTTGATACCGATGCGCGGGTAGACGAAACCGTTAATGACGTGGATCGATGCTCGATAGAGGAACGGATCTCCGGTCAGGTATGCAGCTGCAGAAAAGCAGAAGCGCATCGCTGTGATTGTTTGGTACGTTGGCCTCGCGATTGATCGGTCTCCGACTCTTAACCTTGAAGTCAGGGTCAATGCTGTAAGAGAGTGCAGTACACATAGTAAGAAATCGCCGCCAGAAGGCTCTGGGGTACCATGGATGGCTCTCAGTTGGTATCTGCAGATTTCCATCACTGGTATACTCAGATGACATAATACAACGATGTACTTTTGTAACCTGAAGCTCGGCTTCGTGATTGGAACCGATCGACGAAAGGTGTGCAAGAGAAAGACGCCTGCATAGGACGAAAAGACCCACACTACCTCAGCAAACTCGATCTTAGGCATCTTGACTTGCCCATTTAACACATATGGGAGCGCGTAAATGAAGATTGGTACTATTACACCTAGGAGACGCCGTATCTACGATATTTATAGTGATTGTGCTGAATATTTCAAGGGCTCATAATTTTTGGGCGACTTACCGTGGACTGGTTTGTTTACGTAGGCTTACAAACTACACACTCTAGTTTCCGGCTCTTCATCGCGTCCGCACAATCATGGCGCGATGGGCCTGAACAAAACTCTGCTGATGCGAGAGTGGGCCAGAGTGCACCACAGCAGTCTTAAAAGGAGGCAATATTCCGATGCAAAGACTATGGTCTGGCATTTCGGTGGCAATGCGGATTTGAAGCACAATTTTCAACATAGGCTGCGGTGAACCAGCCCGGAGATTCCTTTTACTTAATAGGATTAAGATACGTGTTGAAGGCAGTTTGTATAAAGAAACCTCTGACCAGATAGCACGGCTGATTGAGGTAATGATAGGCCTTCTCAACACGTAATAGTCCACTCGTGCACCTGGGTCGCTTGTACATTAAGCACAGCCATAGACTGCAATGGACATAGTTGGGCGCTATCCACCAGTCCATAGTGCCCATTTCGGCTGCCCATAAGATGGACGAAGAGCTATGAATGAGCCGACCATCGAATATCTGTTTTGGAAAGATATCCTCGACGGACGTGATATAAATCCGGAAAATGAGCAATATGAAAACTTCCAGATCTTATTGGAGACTGTAAACTCCCTTCTTATTACTCGTTGGAGCCGGAACTGTGATAATATTCACGACCGAAATAAGGCTTTAGGGGAAACTTCGAAAATCCTGTTTGATTGGCTGTGGGATAAACACAAGGGAAAAGAAACTTGCATAAATAACGGGATCATATCCGATGCCCTGAAAAGCCTTGCAGCGGCTGGTGCGAGAAGTAGAAAGTTCACGGAACTTAGAATCTATTTCGATCCGGAACGCTGTGAACCCCCTAAGAGTGCTAGACCTAAGAGCACTAGACCTAAGAGTACTAGACCGAAGCGGAATATCGTGCGGGCACTTACAATCGAGCCGAGAACAAAAAAGCCAATAGACTTTGACTCCGATGAACATGACGAAGAGGAAGCAGATGAAAATGTCAATAACAGTGATGAGAATCCCGACAGACTTCACAAAGACTCTCACAGAGACATCAGCATCGGGACCCAGCCTATCGAGTCAACGCATAGGCTAAGTAAACAGCTCGAAGTAATGCCAGCCCGAGAAGCTATGCGAGACAATATGGAACAGCAGCAAGCTTTGACGGACGACTCCTGGGGCCAGCGCGTGGAGGAGATGGGTGCTCAAGTCCCAATCACAACCCAGCTACCCTGTGGTCTAGAGGGCATAGAATGCGCGGAGCCACATCAGCGCGAAGACGAGTTTCCCATCTCAGTAAGTTGCGACCGAGACCTGACTACAGGGACTGTACAGGCTGGGAACCAGCCTAGTCAAATTCATCTGGCTGGTGAAACTTTGACAATGGGGGCGCAAGGTCAAGACCAGGTAGAACACGTGGGAAAAGTAGATTATCAGGCTCTCAAAGTACTCCCCATTGGAGGCGAATCACTAATGCCAGTGATCGACCTTATGGATAACGGACTACAGACAGACACGTCGCAAACCGCCGAAGACGTGCCACTGGTTGTACCTATTGAGGGCGAGTTCAAGACAATACGACCCCCGCAGACAGACCAGTGCGGGACACAGCAAGTAGGTAAAGGGGACCGTGAGGCTATCCCGATCGGGAACAGATTGGAGACCGGGATGTCCACTGATGAGGAGGATGGAGTCAGGATTGGATCCATGCATCAGCGAGCGGACACACAGTCCGGAGAGGATTTAAGACAACTCGACCTAGACTTGCAAAATTCAATAATGAAGGCGCAAGGTCAGGACGAGTCGAACCACGAGGCTGTTACACAGTCACCCAGATTAGGGAGCAGATCACAGACCGTGACTGACAAGAGTCAACGGATGAAAATAGCTGGGGACGTAGATAATCAGCATGTACGAGCCCGGTCGATGGAGCTCACGCAAAGTGAGCCGTTAATCGTTGAGAATGACTCAGGGGTGCTAGAGGAGTCTCCCGAGCTAGAAATGCGGCGTAACATAATGAATCCGCAGTCACTTTCAAAACTTGAAGGCGACTTCACGGATGCCATGGAGGAGGATTTCGTTCCAGAAACGGCCAAAGATGAGAGCCAGCACCAGCCCCGGCAAGGATGCAATACAACGGACAATGAGGCACCAATAAATCATAGCACACAAGATATAATTGGCAGGAAGCGGAAGAGGGAAACCACCTGTTGGTCAACGGAGCCGGCCAACCGAGTCGAGATAGTAACCCCTCGATTTGGAGAAACTCAAACCGTCGAAAGTCAGCAGCAGGCCATTCCTACCGACTCTACGAATTCTTCGATGTCTTCAGACTTGCAGATGTCTGGATTCCCATGCGATATCGCTAGTCCGGTAAATTCGGCGAGAGATCTATTGAAAAGAGCATTGGGAGAACCCGATGCGAAGAAGCGGAGATGGCTCAAGGATGGTCATGAATCGAACCAAAACAGAAAAGACAAGGGCAACATCTCCGATAAGGAGAGATACCATCTGGGTAAAGGACTGCAGAAAGAGACGTCGCAACCCACTGACGACATGCCAATGGACGTATCGGTCGAGGGCGACTTCGAGCTACCAAGAACCCTGCAGGCAGATCAGGACGGGGCTCAGCAAGATGGTGAAGGGGATTGTGAGACTATACAAGCACCCCCGGTTGGAGACGGAGTGGAGACCGAGATGTCCAGGGACAAGCGCAAAACTTCTATGGGGAAGGTACAAGGTCAATTCGAGGCGGAGCAAGCAGCTAAGAGGGGTTTTAAATTTGCATTTGGATTTACACAGGCCCCTCGAATAGGGGACGCACCACCGACCATGACGACCATCCCTGAGGAACATAGTCATGATGCGTCCACGAGTGTCGACTTAACAAAGGCACAAACCCAGCGCTCCGGACCAACAAACCCTATCGAGAAAGATGCACGCGGCAACAACGATACGAGGCCCAGGAGAGTTAGAGGCAGAGTGGATAAATCGGCCAAAAGAGACTGGAAGCAAATGCCCAATAGGAGAGAATCTCATTTCAGCGAAGTAATAGAAAGAGCTGCCAAGATGGAAATGGATGCAGACGTAGACAATAAGGATACGGCCCTGCAGACGGAGGCCACGCAAAGTTTGCCGTCAATGGGCGACAGTGACCTAGGAGTACCTGAAGAGTCTGCCGAGCTAGAAGCGCGGCATACCATAGTGAATCCGGAGTCACCTTCAAGCCCTGAAGGCGGCTTAATGGATGTCGTGGAGGATTTCGTTTCAGAAAAGGCCACAGATGAGGGCCAGAGCCCGCCCTGGCAAGGATGTACGAGATGGGAGAATGAGACACCAATAAATCATAGGTCACCAGAACACAAAGAGAGCAAGGAAACGGATAGGGAAACCACTTGTTTAGCCGAGAAGAGGGCTGAACCCGTCCTGGTGGCCGCATTCGAAGACATGCGAGCTGACGAAACTCCGCAGCAGGCGATCCCAACCAAGCCTACGAACTCCTTAATATTGGAAGACACACAGATGTCTGGTTCTTCATGTGATGTCGACCGTCCGATAGAATCAATGAAAGATTCACTGAGAAGTGATGGCTCCCCAGTAGACAGAGCCCAAAGCCACGAGGTACTCGTGACATCAAGATCACCGGATTCAAGTACTCAGTTAGACGATAGGCACGCCTCGGCTGAAGGGGGAGATGTGCTCGCGACTAGCGAAATGGACGGCATCGACGGCCAAGACCTCGCAATAATAGAGGTGGGAAGTAAAGGACCAGCCACTAGCGAAATACAAACGGGATATGAGACTATCGTAGGGGATAGTCAGTGCCCAACGAGTATAGATCAAAGACCATTGGGTGATATTATGGACGGAACTCAGGTCGAACGAACAGCACAGGTACTAGAGAGTGAAGAACAGATGAAACAAGCTGGTGAAGACGCCGTACCAGCGGATTGGGAAGCACAAATCGCGAGGGCTCAACAGGAGGCCCTCCAGGCGATCTCGGAAAAGGACGAAGCACTCAAGTTTCGACAAAGAGCAGAGGACGGCTTGAGTAGTATTGGGAATGAGCTCAAAATCCTCGAGCAACAATTACAGCAGGTAAAAGCGGATGCCGAGAAAACACAGCAAAGTGAGCAATATGCAAAGACTGAAGCGTCCAAGTGCAAACAAGAGCTGCAGAACTTACAAGATAAGCTCTACCAGGCACAGCAACAAGCAAAGCATGCAAACGTGGAACTAAAAAACAAGAAAGAAAAGTTATCTGAAGCCGAGGCGGAACTCCTCAACTGGAAAGAGCAGTTTCGGGACAGTAGCTTGAAGGGCCTCAAAACTTCATCAAAAGCGCATAAGATTATATTGAAATTTGAGTCAGCAGTGTTGAAGCTTCAAGGAGAGAAGGAGCAGATCCAAGGCGAGTATGAAAGGGCCCTGGAAATGGCAAACGAGGCCAAGCGCACGATTAAGGCATACGAGGCTTCGATTCAGGATCAAGTACAAGAGCTGAAAAGCCAAAGCTGCGCTGCTCAGGCGGACCTACTCGAGAAAATCCGGGCGGAAATTACTGGACTTTATCCATACCAGGGGCAACACATCGCACTGGATACACCCAGACGCATTGGAGATTATCTTCGGCACATTGAGGCTCAGAAACAACAGACTTATAAGACTCTCGAAATACTCCTGCAAATACCTTTCAGCGATAATGAACTAGATGAAGCGAGCATAGATGTCACGAGAATACCTGCTACTCTCCTTGAAAGTGTAAAAAAACTCGTAGAGTCTTATCTAGCACTGGAGGGGATATGCATTAGTACCAGCGAAGAATTGCAAAAGCTCACTTCGGCTAATGTCGACCTGAGGACGCAACTGAAAGAACAATGCCAAGATTTTGAGAAGGCCAGAGTTGACCTCAAAGACCTGCTCCTGGCAGTCAGTAATAACACCGTTGAGCTGAATCACCTGTCCCAGTATAGATTCAAGGCCTGGCAGACTCAACTACGTGCCGCATGCCCTGAGTCGACTGCGGGCGGTCCAAGATGAGGAAGATGCCGCCATAGGTGTGCTCAAGAGATATGACGAGCCCGCAATTCTGGACAAGGTGTGGTTCTCCGCGTCCGGAGCCATCATGGAACCCCACAAGGAACTGCAAAACCATGCCCGCCATTCGCGACTTCGACGACTCGGCAGACAAGGAGGCCGCTGTCAATTTCTCCCGCCCTGGCTATCCCTTCGAGGTTGATCACTATCGCGTTTTGTACGATAGGGTCAACCGCCGCCGCCGTTGCATTTCGCACAGCCTCGTCAAGTGCTTGCCGTGCACCATGACGACCAACACCACAGGGAAGTGGATAGGATGCTTTAAGACCCGTCAGATCTGTCTTTCGCCAGCAAAGCCAACCTCATCAAGAGTCACGTCGCCCATTGCCCTGCTTGCGAGCTCAGCCGTGAGAACCCAACTGGCGACTATCAACCTATCAGACCCGGTGAATTGCTTCATCGTCGGCTTGCCTGCACACCACAACACCACCGGCACACCCTGTTTCGACCATTACAGCTGCATGCTCACGGTTAGTTGTAACGTGCGCTAGGCCGAAGTGTACTCTGCTGATTCCGGGCAACGATCACTACACGGCCGAAGACTAGGCCAATGCCCTAGCGCGCCAATTGCTCCGGAACGACTGGGGTATTCAACGAAGTATCATCTCCGATCGTGACCGCAAGTTCGCGTCCGCCTTCTCGCGCGACTTTTGGAAGAATCTCCCCGGGGGGGGGCGGGCCCCGGGGGGGGGGGGGCGAGGAAAGCAAGTGACAGGTAACTAATGGGAAGCGCGTATACGCGTAATATGACTAGCCCGGGGGAGGTGAGGGAGGAGGAGGATGAAACGGAGGCGCGCGGGGCTCGAACTGGCGGCGATTACCGCGACTGTGCAAGTGGTTTGGTCAACGATGCGCTTGGTATGGTGCACCATAAAGCCCATACTTGGTGGCGTCATGATCAGTCAGCACAACTGCTAGCAAGGTGCACGACTGGACAATAGTGCGGAGGCGGGGCGCAGCCCACATAAGGCAAGCAACTGCGAGGAACAAGGACATATATTTATGACGACGAGGTGATAGACCTGAATTGATCGCTTTCCCCCAGTCTGTGACGTGCGGCTGGTCAGGCTAGGCAGGGGCGGCCACCAGCCCGCTGGAGCCTAGCGACGCCACGTCCCTAAGGCTGGTGTCCGTCAGCTGGGCTGGCGACAAAGCGACATCGATATCGCTCTTAGGTATGCTATGCTAATGGGCATGGGCAACCGCCTACTGCGGCCGGTTTCGCTATCTACCGTAAGTCTGAGCCGTCACAGACTCGGGCATCAGCACAAGCCGCGTTGTACCGTATCGTGTTGGGAGAGCTAGAGGTGACCAGAGCTATCTCCGAAGAGGCTCGTTGTGTTAATCGCCCCAGCACCTCGCCCTCTACCTGCCGCCAGGCCGCCAGCCTACCGCGCGCCTTCCTCCCCAGACCGTGCCTGCCTCTCAAGATTCGTGCGTGCGCACAGGTCGTTTCCCCATCATCAATCACGTGCAACCTCTCTCTCGCTCGTCCTGTCAGGGCGGCCCTCGCCCAGCGAGTGGCCATCGTTTCCACGCCAGTCGCCCGCAGGTGCCGGCGGGAGGATAGGACAACATGAAGCCACTTCTTACCCTACTCCACGACGCTATTTAGAATGGTAACCGAGATAAGTCCACGGCCATGGGGTGTGTGGATCCGTAGAGACGTGCTCTGCATGTTCTGCAGCCGAGTGTGGATGCCACGCATGGCGGCTACCTATATTGCGTTAACTAGTGTGTGCCCCATCATCTTTGTCTCAAGTATCAGAGGAGTGACCAGAAGTATCCAATCCAGCCCAAGTTGAGGCCGAGACTTTCCATTGACAGCCCATGCATGTCAACAAGGCGCCAATCGTTGAGTTTGTCTTTAACACAGGCATCGCACAGCGTGAAGGCTCCGTGAGACATCGCAAGGCACGAATGAGGAGGGCCTTAGCTAGAGTGGCCAGTGCTGCTCAGTGCACTAGTGCTGTTAGGCTGCGCACTGCCTGCGAGGCTGAGACGGGGTTGGTCGGTCCCATTTTGCTTTATCACGTACCAAACCCTCGCGCTGGTCCAGTCCAGGCTCATGTAATCGAACACATGCCGCTCGTTTCCAGATAGCTTATGGCTCTCTTCTCGGCGTGGGTGCCGCTCTTGTCCAAGTCGTCATCTTTAAGGGCACCAGCGAGCGGGTGAGTCAACATATACGTCATATTCTCAGAACGGCCGTCTAATGGCCCGAGTGCCCGGCCCCTTGAGTTTGACCGAATTCCGGAGTGGAATACAGTACTGTAATACAGTCGGATAAAAGGGAAATAATGCTTGTCGTACCTCATGGAAGAGACAAACAACCAGGTTAACCATCACAAACAAGGAATGCTCCACTAACGAGTAGGATAAGTGAACTTGCGGCTCAAAGTCGCTATGTTATCGTTCTCCATACTTGATCGACGTGTTCTTGCTTAAAGATACTGTAACTTACTTCATCACTACAGTATTTGGCTTCTGACATATTATAAATGTCACCTACTGGAAAAGCAAATCGTATGCAGGGCCAGCTGTCGTCCAAAAAGCTCATGTCATACCATGAGATTCCATCATGGCAACAGGATAATGAATTCCTCCTGTCTGGATATCGGTACGTGCTCTTGGATATTCGGCTTATACATGGCTAATGTTGTTGTAGGCCAATCTCCGGGTCTTTATACAGATCACTACGCAGCGTTCTGTACATGCATAACGAGACTGTCAACATCCTTTCACATATGTCTGGTTGTATCGCTTTCACCACTATCCCCTTCTTTCTTCATCATATGCATCATCCCACGATATCGCGCTACTGCTTCGGAGTGGCCTTTTGTTTCGCGTGCTCCGCCATGTAAGCCCGTTGCTCGAATTCTCCGGCTAGATTACTATACTGACGTTAAGAACATATTCCACTTCTTGTCCAATCACAGTCGCAGCTGGGCCCAGTCCTGCAATCGCCTCGATTATTTAGGCATCGTGGTCCTCGTCTGGAGTGCTAATGCACCCGTGGTTCATTACGGACTGTCCGGCCTCCCGGACCTGCAAAGATTCTACAGCTCCATTGTATGTTATTCTTACCAGCAGTTCGTCTGAGCGTATCTGATAACCGTTTGGTTTCAAGAATATCATCACGGCTGTCATGAGTGTGGGGTTCATCTTTGGCCATGACTTTGGCTTTTCTGCCTTTAGAAAGTGGCGTGTACTTGTCTACAGCACATCTGGCTTGGGTTCACTCGCATCACTGTTACATGGCCTTCAAATCAAAGGCTGGGCCGTTCTGGGAAATCATCTGTCCCTTCGGTGGCTGGCTTGTACGATGTCGCTTAATCTCATCGCCGCAGCTGTCTATGCCTTAAGGGTACGTCGCCTCCGATTCTTTGCCTAGGCCCCAAAATTGACGTCCTGGTTGTAGATCCCCGAGAGATGGTTTCCATATAGGTTCGACCTTGTGGGAGCTAGCCATCAGATTTTCCACGTCTTAGTTCTGATAGCCACGTTCACACACCTGGCAGGCCTTCTTGCAGCATCTCAATATGCCGACATGTGATCGCCCTTTGGCCAAGTACAACGTGGCGGCTTTTTCAAGTGCTATAGCTTGGTGTCAAGGTTGTACTCCATGCGTTTATCCGGTGCAGCAGCCTGCCAAAGTGCTCACAGATTGGGAATCGTGGAGGTGTGAGTGGGCTCGACTGAGAAGGAATTGTGCAGAGGCGCTTATAATTTGGCGCTTACGTCATTTTAAGCCACCCAAATTATCATTGCATCAATGTCTCTTAGTGATCGTTTCTGGGTCTCGTTGGCACGGTCTCTGGTACACATCATCTGTCGATCATGCCTAAGTAGTTGTGGAAGCCCCATCCTATATCAACCCGGTTCGAGGAGAACCCACAACACATAGTCTCGACAGGCACGCATATGATGATTTATGGAAACCTGCACAGCTTCAAAAATAAAGTTCCTCCACTCATTCGCCCTCATAGCCTCCCTTTCACGCGTAGAAGGGGAAATTGCCTCGGCTATCTGTCTTAGGCAAGGCCACCCAGGAGGCACTGTCCTTCGACTTGCAAGCAATCAAGGAGTCGACCGTAGGCAGACAGTATTTAGGGGAAATCCGCAGCTGAGAGTGGATCGAAATTCGCGGGGACAAGGGCCTGGAATGAGACGGATCTGTTACGTGCACAGACCTTTCGTCATGTCCTACATGAGAATGAGAGGGACGTCGAGGTGTGCACGGTCGACACTGCATATGTGGGGCATGTTGAACCCTTAAAGTTGACTCAATTACGGGGTGGAATATGACAGTAGGCACAGAGGGGCTGAGCACGGAGCTAAGGGCGGAGCTGCTTCCCGTGCGGACCGGTCACGCTATCCCCAGACAGTATGCGGACTGTACAGACCCTTTCTTGGCGCGAGGATCACCCACCAGTTCTGTGCTCCAATTCACAACCCAGCTGTCATCGGCATGCGAGGGATACACGTCGTAATGAGTATCCAGCTTGGAGTGTACTGGGCCACGTCTCTGTATTCATTTCGTACATGCCTGAGCTTACCTGGCCATGCCAGCCTCAATAATGGCGCCAACCGCTTCGCCGCGGCTTGTGCCAGTAACGCCGTGTCTAGTTTGGAACGGGTACGAACAGATATTGACGGGCACACTCCGTCTCCTTGCGTGAGTCTCAGTCAGCCCAATGGATCTCCGTGAAGATCTAAACCACCTGCACTGTGCGACATTGTTAGATATTGTATTGTTCCAGCCCCATGTTCGTGCTTCGTCCAAAGACACTGAAACCAAGGCGACGCGAGCGGGTCACCCTCTACCAACGATGCGCCAGTGTTTGAGCAGCACGAGGATAGCATGGACACCCTGGAGATCGGCAGTGTGCGTCACAGTCGTGGCTAGGCGTTCGACGCCGAAGAGCGCACCCTCTTTCAGGTGTGCAAGACATCTATAGTGGAACCTGGAGGTCATCAACTTGCAAAGGCTGATGCCAGAACCAAGGCCGCCGCAGTAAGCCGGCAGAGTGCAGGGACTTCGAGCATAGCACCACGCTCAAGCTAGCTCTAGAATGCCGAACAGCAATTGTGAAACAGTGGGATCGGTACAGATACAATGGTGGACGGTATCATCTAATAATATTATCTATGAGGGGCCTCCTGGACCTGTCTGACTTCCTCGCCTCAGCGCTTGAACCTCCAGAATGGCCGAGCGTTTCTTGTTGCGATCCGGACATCATGATGACCTCCCATTACTTCCCACCAATCGAGAGCAAATTCCCGACCTGGCTATAAAGTGCGCTGCACCGGACTGGCTGGGCACTAATGTTCAAGCACTGGTCCTCAGGCAAAAACGTCTTCTCGCCGCAGAACTCATCGCTGCGTCCAAGTGCCATCACACCATGAGACAGCTTCCCGCAACTGCATTAAATCCACCACTATTGTCTTTCTCCTCAATGCCAGTTCGATGGCAGCGAGCACGTAGCCGCGCTCTCGTCGTTGACGGTGCTCTCCTTTGCCTATCGATCGGAATTTCAGTCCCTCGGTGACCTTTGTTGGAAGGTCACTGGTCGTCCAGGGCGTTCGGCGACTGCATGGAGCCTCAGTGCTCTAGCATATGCCATGTTTCACACTTTTGCCTCTGTCATGCCCATCTCTCAGAAACCCGACGAAGTAGCTTCTATTGGACTCACGGACGCACGCAGATGACCGTCCGCAAGACCTGGCGGCTGATGTGCTGGGGAAAGCCGGTGAAGGGGCTTTGCGGTCGCCATTGCGTGCAAGGGCTGGTTGCCAGCAGCGGTGTGAAAGTCGCAGCTCGAGTGTTATGGCTAAATGCGGTTCATGCTAGGTCTCCTCCCAGATATTTCTTCGTAGCATAGCATCTAAAGTTGTTTTGTTGCCGGCCTACCCAGTCCAATGGCGCATCGACGAGTAGTCTGACAGTGTAGTCGAGGAATGGGGCTATCATGTCGTCGGCGAACTCCGTCGGCCACGTCTCTCCCAATCTTCTTAACACATCGTCGAACCAGTTGCGCTGATCCCATTCAGGATTCACGTTCATAGCTCGCAGTATTGACAGCAGCGCATCCTCTTGCTGAGCGTTTGATGATATTGTGGCGATGTCGACAGATCCGACCACACTTGGACCCTCGCTCGGATGTGTCGTGTTCGTTGACTCCCTGATGGTCCAATTCGGCCGCGTACCAGCCAGCTCGAAGGTGTGGCTGACGAGGTCTGTCGAATGGAAGAGCTGCCGGGTGGCACATAACTGTGTAGTACGAGTCTCCTGGGTGTCGCGAGGATGCCCTTGAATGACGAGAATCGAGACAACTTGCTTGCGTGTGTTGTCTCGAGGCACTGGAACTGCGCCATTGTCCGAGGTCCGCGTCACCATCTCCTGTCTCGATCGCGGCCACAGCCTGCAAGCCACCTGCACCGACAGAACGTATTATGGGTGCTTTGTTGGCGTAATCCGCTTTCGCTTGCGCGTGGACAAATCGAATGGGCGTGGAGCGGCTGACTTCTGGGGGTGATTGAATTACTCTTCGGTATTATGCAGAGGGACAGGATACCCGTGGGCGATGCAGCTGAGGAGATTAGAATACAGACATCGACGACACGTGCTCCCACCAGGTTGCAGCACGACTGGTGTTGTCAGAACAGATGACCACAAAGCACACCAGCAAGCAACAAGATGGTGTGGGTCATGGAAAAATTCAAAAGCTGCCACAGAGGGATTCCGTTCTTGCGCGGCGGACCAGGCAGGCTAGGCAAAGAAACCGGACCTGGCGAAGCTGGATTTCTGCGCACCATGATATCTCTGTAAGTGGGAGGGTCCGCCGGAAGGCAGCGGAAGATGCCATGGACCCGCCCAAGAATAACCCTGAAGAACCTCCCGCCGCCATGGTAAGTTGTAAAGTGTCATGGCGGCGTGTCCTCTGGCCCCAGGACTCCATGGTGGCGTTAAACCTTGAAGGGGGACAACGACAACGGCACCCAAACCAGATGCCACGATTCCCGCCCAATCAGCCGACCGATTCATGTTGATGGGCTGCAAGCAACAGAGTCCCGCTTATGGAGCGGTCTAGAACATGTAAATCAGTGGGGAACATGGCAGCACGATTGGGGACCTGGCCCAGCTGAAGACACCACACCCACGCTCGGCAGTCACAGGCCCAACTCCGACACCAGAGACCAATCAGCCAATCCAGATGGCACGCAATCAGTAGTTGCGAGTGTCGAAGTCCGACTGGCTACTGGCGGCCCATACTGGTTGGATATTAGGTTGGCGGCCTCGGAATTTTGTCTGAACACGCCACATCAATGTCCTGGTAAAGGCACTTCGTCCACTTCGACGAGGGCACAGAACATCGCTTTGAGCTTGTGCCATGTGTCCACGCGCGCGCCCCTAGTGCCATGCGCGTCAGGGCGAGGTTCTTTGCAGCCACGGAGATGACGTGGACCAGATTGAGCATGGCTTGGCAGGCGTTTCAAGGCTCGCGAGCGGCATCCTTCAGCTCGTTTTTCTGCAGGATGGCAGGCTCAGACGGGGAATGGGCCGACGCAACATTATTGGCGTGAGCCACTGCACGCCGCCTAAGACGGACTGCCTGGTGGTTTGACTTTGATTAAGGCTCCGGCGCAACATCCGTAGCGGGATGGGGCGGCCAATGTCACATTCCACCCCAAGCGGGGCCTCTGCACGGCGCCAGCCGAAGCCTGACTGTGCTACTACTCTAGACACTCTGCCTCGACGATCGCCTTCCAAGCTGCGACCAGATTCGTACCCTCGGTATCCTCGACGGTCCTTCCCCGCCCTAGCCACGCTATGAACTCCTCTTTCCCCATACACTCGACTTGTAGCTCTCGCCAGATCAGCTGCTCAAGCTTCCTGCTCGCTGTAGCTAGCCAGACCACGGGCATGACTCGATCTCCCCACCGGCACCTCGCCGTCCCGCCCCACTTACACCAAGCCTGCGGGAGACCACACGTCCAGCAGCACGTGTACTCTTTGAACCGGATCTGCCGCCGCCACGCCATATACGCTTCCGATCCTCCTAGTACCTTGCAACTCCGGAACTCGTGCTCGTAAGTCCTCTGTCGGCCATCTGCCCGGCCCTGGTGACACCACTTGACGTAGCACACTGCGCACTTGCTATCCATCAACTCTACCCACTCCAGCAACTTCCGGATCCTCCTCTGCCTCTCCTTATTATCTCCTCTAAGACGGTCGTCTACTACCTCGGCTACTGCGGAGTGCCAGTCGCCTGTAGTACCACCCTCGCTACATTCGCCCATACCGACAACCTCATCTAGTACGTCGGCCTGTACCTCTGTAAGTTGCCGGCACCGGTCACAGCGCACGGCTTGAAGACTATCGCAGTCCTGCGCGATGCCGTCCATGAACGCCCCAAGCACGAGCCTCCGGCAGTCTGGCGTCTGCACGAACCGCTCTGCTGCCTGCCGGTTCAGCTGGTCTACATCGCTCGCCTGCCGGTCATAGTAGACAGCCGCCCTACCTAGCACCACGATCGACTCCACCTCCTCCCCCGCCTTCCTCCCGCTTCTGCCCGTCTGCTGGATAAAATCCACAAGCCCGTACGGCTGCTCCGCGTGGATAATGGCGACGATACCCTCGATGTCCACCCCGGTCCCTAGTCCTGTCGTTGCTACTACCCAGCGGGTTTCTGATCGACCTTCAACCCAGTCCTCGAGTACCGCTTGCCGCTCTGATAAGCTCATGTCGCTATGGTGGTACCCGCATCGGATCAGCTCGGCGAGCCGTGTACAGTTAGCCTTAGACCTGCTGTAGATCACGCCTTTCTGCTTCCCAGTCATGCGGCCAGTTATGCGGATAACCTGCTTGACGACCTCGTCCTCGACTGCACTACGCCCTGGTCCCGTCACTTGTACGACGTTGTAGCTAATGTTCTTCTTATCGGACCAACCGCGCGAATCAATAGCCCTATGTTCATCGTGCCGAGGGTCGGTGAAACAGCCGGGCACAGAACGCGTGAGGGTAGAGCGAGACCAATTCGATGAGGAAGGTTGAGAAGATTCGGTGGCCGAAGTCACGATTCGAAGAGTGCTGTCGAGATAAGGCGTTCAGGTCGATCGCCGCACAAGAGCGCCGGAGAAAGCGCAGCGGGCGCATCCGGTTGGGCACGCCGCTTATGCGCTCATCGAATGCTGGATGCTGACGCGTATTCGAAGACATTTTGCGGAATGCGAGAGATGCCGAGACTTCTTGTTTTTGGGCGGAAGAAGGGGGAGGAGGTAAGAAAGGCGGGGACAGCAGGGCCCGACTCCGGTATTTTCATTCGCACGGCTCGTCTGTCGCCTGTCCAGTGGCTGAGGAGAGGTCACAAACTGTGTCGAAGAGGCCACAAGCCCTGGGACAGGATCGTCTCAAGCTTTCTCTTGGTAAGGAGCGTATTCAGCCCGTTAGCGTGGGTATAGGAAGGTCAGACAGTGCCCACTGAGTGAGCAGAGCCTGAGGTAGATGCTATGAGCTTGCTAAGAGGTATTGGCGTATCGCAGATTGCATGTTCGCTGAAAAAGACTGAAGCACTGCCTTTGACAAGGATGCGAGTTTGCGAGGCGGCAAATTAAACCAATGTCTTAGACGCGATCTAGCGTGGTCATGTCGGTTGGTGTGGCCGCATCCAGACCGATTTGTTGGCCAACAATCATTCCCATAGCTGTCGTCATTGTGGGCAGCTGAGGAGATGGTTTGTGTCTGTCCAAGCTGAGGCCATTCAGACATGCCTGTCCAAGCTGAGGCCATTGAGACAGGAAGTAGGGTAACGACAATATCTATTCATGCGCTGCTTAGGCAAGCAGCGTTGCGCATCCACTGATAGCGTCGAACTTCATATTGCAATATTGTCGGATGCCTGGCCGCTTAATACGTAGAATACTGCATTCTGAAGCATTGATTGTTCAGCCCTATCATGCGGAAGTGTGCCAGGGAGCCGCGCCTGGACTAAGTCGCCCCAGTCTCAGGACACAGATGGCATGTCAGAGCATTCTTGCCGGCCAGACTGTGGTGCAAAACCTGGGCTCCATCCGACAGATCGTTATGTATCTTGCGCGCAATGCCACGCGAGGGCGATCTCGACGTTCGAGACACCTCAGGAAGCGTAGGAGGCGTGTCTACGGTGGTCAGGGTTTGTCGGCACATCCGTAACTGGGACACAATGCCCCCGGGGCACAGCCGAGAGCGCCGGATAGCTTTATTGACAGGCTACTCCAAGGCTGGCCTCAGCCCTTGCCTCGACCACCAACACGGCTCTCGCCCGAAATCACCCCTCTCAACCATCACGAGCTTCCTACCAACCTAGGCCCGTCGCTCACGCGCATCTGCCACAGACTATCGTCCTCACGCCACCGCAGCCCCGGTGGCTTCGTCCCGAGCAGTTTTGCGAGACGTTCAAGATTGCCCACACGATCACCATGTAGGCGTCACACAGTCTTCAACCTCGCATTCGTGTGCTAAGCTCCTGCGGTCTCCTTTCAGCGTCGCTTCTCTGGCGGTCATCAGCTTCAGACTACCCTCACTCGACTCAGACTGCCAGCGGTGGCCGGGAAACCCGCCAGGCATCAAAGACTCCACGGGACGAGGACGCTCGCAAGCCGACATTGACTGAGACAACTTCCCCGCCAACCAGCTTCTTGAGAGATCGTCAGCCACTGCTTGTGGAATCCGACAACTACCTGTGCTCGCCAGCACGTAGCAGTGCAATTGTAATGTCATTGGCACTTTCTAGGTCTCCACTGACTGCAGCTATGTTCACAGCTCCCCCTCCTGACAAGCTGCGCAACCCGATCGGTGCGTGGCTGCCAGACACCACACGAGTGCTGGGAGGGACTTCGATCCTGCCCCCTCCGACCATGATCCTGCCGACCCTCGACGAAACCGCTTCACGAGAAGCCAGCGTCGACTTTTGAGGCAGTACGTGCCAGAGACCAACAGGGCTCCAACGAACCCCGACCAGACCCGCAACCACGAGCGTCTCCGGAATCTCGAACACTGACGGCAAGATCTTACACGACATGTAGGCGCAGGAAACGAGCTTGACCTGCGCGAGTGTCGTGATCGCGACCTAAAAGCCGAACAAATGTCAGCAGCTGGGCCCTGCTTTTGTCACTCAGGCGACTACGTGCAATCGACTCTCAAGCAGGCTCAAGTAGCTGCTCACAGAAACACCAGCTCCGGGTGTCGTTACTCCCTCAACTCTGCGAACGGACAGCTTCGAAGCCTCCAAGTCACCTCTCTCGCAGGCAAAGGCGTCCACTTCCCACTCACTTGGCCTCACAACTGTCTGGCTCCCTCGCGGCAGGGACAGCCAAGAAGAACGACACATATTTTCCTCTCCCGCATTCAATTGGCCACGGCAACGGCCATCCTCGAAATACATCTCCTCACCGCACAACACATACCCCAACGGGCGGCA